TTTATGTGCAGCATGTAATTCTTATTGGATTTCTATTTTTGAAAGGTTACCTGATTTTTCAGGTGAAATTTACGTTTCTCGTTAGTTCAGTGTGGCTACTATGTCACACTGCAAAATACAGTGTTGCCTACAGAGCAGCTGCTTGATCATGTCATAAGTTTTCAATCTCTTAAATAATTAATAACATTTTCCTGTCTCGTTTTACATAGAAACGATCTTGAGCAAAGTTGTAGCTGAGAAAAGTTTCTATAAGAATAGCTATCGAGCTGTTTTGCTGCTCAATATGGAAAAAGACTAGAAGGTAATGAACAAAAAGTTGAGATTTCCCATAGTAATTTACATGTGAACTTCAAATGGTTTGTGCGAAGTCTGTTTCTAACCAAATGAGTTGTAACTTTTGGAGGCTAATCACGACCCGATTTGAAACCATTTAAGCACTGTGGAGCGAAAAAGTCAAATTTTGCATCAGTCTATTGGCCATTCATTCGGAGGTTACAACCAAACAAGTTGGCCATGGATATGTTTGTTGCAGTTCCATCGAATGTGAAACCGATCACCTGGGCGCCTGCATCATGTAATGCATTCAGGGCATTTTCCGTTAATATTTTCTTGTCAGCTGCATTCAAGCCATTAATAAGAAAATAAGCAACTGGCACTGTGAAAATCCGCCGATATTAGCTATGGGCAAATCACCCACGGCGCAGCTAATTATTGTTCAACTTACCCGTGAAGCAGCTGAATCCAAAAATGACCTTTCACCAACTGACAGGAAATGTGTAAGAAAAGTCATGACCTACCTAGTTATTATCCATCTCATATCTTCCCTCTCCTTTAGTATAAAAGTTATAAAAAATATTTTTAAACAATAACTAATGATAATGAATTACTGAATCTTGATCCATCGCTTCCTGTTCCCTTAATCCCATGTCCCGCAGCAAAGCCTTCACCTGGTGCTTGATGATCGGTATGCCATCCTCCGAGTGCAGCAACTCGCGTCCTGTAATGATGAACAGATCTTTGAACTGCTGCGTCCGGTGGGTCAGCTTTCTGGCGTGCTCTGTTAGGAAAATTTTTAAACACTGCAGCGCTTCCTCCGAGTGCAGATAGTGCAAATCCAACACGTCTACATTGTTCAGCGTCAGCTTGTGCACCTCCATGATGGCATTCGAGGCCTTACTGCTGTACATATCGATTTTGGTTCGATGAAGCCGGGCAAGCTGGTCATAGTACTCGGCCACCCCGGCCATGCCCCGCTGAATGGCATTCCGTGCCTTCTCGTGGCATTCGTTTTTCAGTTCCTGGTGGTCCTGGGACATATTGCGGAATTCTTCGGCCGTTTTCAGGTGAAGATTGGTGTCGCCTTCGCTGGATGACGGTACCTGCTCGACCGTTGGAGGCGGCGACGTTGAGGACGAGGGAAGTGTTTTCTGTTTTTCGGCTTCTGCTCGCTTCATAAGGACTTCCCGTTCGCGGGCGATTTGGTTTCCCAGCTCTTCCGGAATGGATTTGTTTAGGACGGTTATAGTGTCGCTGAATTTGTGGGCATGTAGGATTTCTGCCAGGACTTTCTCGTCAATGATAGGATACATTTCGGCTAGCTTTTGACGAGTCATATGCGAGGCCAGATCTTGCGGAGCTTGCTTAGCCCAGCCGTTAATTCCGCTTCGGTACGCTGTGGCATACGGACTTCGGATTATTCAAGATGCTTCTCGGTTGACATGTACGAATAGACTCTTTATTCAATTTGCAGGTTCGGATCAGGAAGGTTCTTATTTGGTATTTGGATAGGCCGAAAGAATGTAAAATATAAACCTTAAAAAAAGCGAAGCGGCGTGGTAGGTTTATTGCCAAAACATTTGTTGTGCATATGCGCAAGACTTATTGCGCGCATATCGTAGCAGTTAAAGTAGGTTGGTAAACAAGGAAAAGGAAAAGGTTTTACTGTTTTGAAGTTGACTGAGCAGTTTCTCAGTAGGTCATGAATTTTGGCAGTTTCTATCTATGTTAAAACAGTGGGATAAGGAAATGGAAATGTTTCCTTTATTATGGTGATTTATGAAAAGATCTGTGTGGTAATTTGAGCTGTATCATATTACAACATCGTAACACGACAACGCCGTTAGGGCGTACTCCATTTCCATAATGTCGTTCAGTTTGGGGGAATCCTCGATGGTCTTTCCATTTGCTGTGCCAATCGAGCATCTTTTTTCATAAAATCTTGTGAATTCAAGAACGACAAAAACAACTGTTCTGCCATTTCGGTAGCCATGAAAACCTTTGTTCGTTCATTGGTTAGTTCGTCTAAGGAGATGGCACCCGAGCCATGCTTATCCTTGAAAGTGGTGTGTAGCTGGCTTATGAGATTAATTTCCAACGTCACTTCCAGCACTTCGGGATCGTTTTGCAAATCTTCCGCTTTGTCTTTTCTTTTCGTTGTGTTCCGGGGTGATTTCGAGCTGACAGTAGACCGATCGATTTCGTAACCCCCTCCACCACCACCACTACCGGAGGGATGACCGGAAAGATACAATTGTTTCATTGCAATCACATTCATACGCGAGTAGGCCGCCAGCCGCACCGGCTTCCAAATTATCCGCTGTCTCGAATTCGTATGTCTTTTGCTCTTCTAGCAATAGATTTGCTGTCCAATCACCGTGTCCATTGCAGTTCTCGAACAAATCCCACAGATACTGGACCGAAATAAGGGGATAGAGGATGCAAATTTCCGAAAAGCTAGTGTTTTCATTTTTGCATCCTCGTCTGTGTCTGACCAGAGCAATCCGTTTCTTTTCTGATTTCTTCTTTTTGCTGGGCTTGACCGGCGTCACACCTGTGAAAATTAGTCCTCACTCGTTTTCTCAGAACGGCCGTCCCGGTCGCGTTTTCTCCTATGGCTTTGCCACGGCGAGGAGACGATTTTTGCAAATCCGTCCTCACTCGCATTCAGAACGGCCTTCCCGGTCGCGTTCTTATCCTGTGGCCGTGCCACCACGAGGAGACGATTTTTCGCAAATCCGTCCTCACTCGTTTTCTCAGAACGGCCGTCCCGGTCGCGTTCTCTCCTGTGGCTTTGCCACGGCGAGGAGACGATTTTTGCAAATCCGTCCTCACTCGCATTCAGAACGGCCGTCCCGGTCGCGTTCTTATCCTGTGGCCGTGCCACCACGAGGAGACAATTTTTCGCACTCGTTATCTCAGAACGGCCGTCAAAGTCGCGTTCAAATTTCCAATTTTCCTTGCAAGTGGGTGATTTGCCCTTTATTACCTATCGGTGGTCTCCAAGATTCCAGGTTCGTCTCCTGGCAGGATCGCCAGAAATGTGAAAATCCGCCGATATTAGCTATGGGCAAATCACCCACGGCGCAGCTAATTATTGTTCAACTTACCCGTGCAGCAGCTGAATCCAAAAATGACCTTTCACCAACTGACAGGAAATGTGTAAGAAAAGTCATGACCTACCTAGTTATTATCCATCTCATAGGCACCTTCCATTTTTCCTCTACCGATGATACCATATATACCAACGCTTCTTTGGCGACCGGTAGGTCATCTCCTGAGCACAGAAACGAAAACGATTCCCCATAATCGACTACACCTTCAAACTTCTTAGCGTGAGGATTCCAGGTAATTTGTTGCCAAACCGCAACCTCGTCCATGCAAAGGCTTACTAGTAACGGTCGTCCTTGCATTTCTTGGGCTTTAGTTTCGATCAGCGAAAGTGTTACCAGGCCGGTAACACGGTGACGGTGAGACCAGGCTCACCGTTTATACTTCTGTACCACTTAACAATGGTCCGTTCATGGGGTAGAGTATTGTTGAATGTGGCTCTGACGTAGGCGTAAGCTTTAGCCGAATAGAAATGAAGTGTAGAAGTGAATTTCTTTTTGAAGTTCACTGTCTTGAGCATATTCCTGAAATTGAATCAAACATTAAGATAGATTTAGTTTAATTAAATAAAAAAAATATGTGTGTGCTTCAGCTGCAAGTTTGCAGGCAGTTTTATTATTCAGATTTATGAATACATCAATAACTACCTGTAGTAAAAGCTGCCCTGAAGTAGAAAGTAAGCGTTGCTCCTGCAATGTAGCAAAAATTTCCTGTAAATTACCAACTTTCTTCTGAAGCCGATAAGCTTTTTGCTTCAGCCGATTCACTCGCAGTTGTGCAGCATAAAGCTGCTTCTGAACTTTCGGAAGTGCATTTTTTGCACCTTCAGCGGAAATTGAAGACAAATCCTTTATGTCTCCCGAATATCGAATTGCGATTGTTTTCCCGGACGAGGTTGATGCGATCGAATTGTTGTTTAAATCCCGTTCACTGCCGATGTCGGGATCTAAAAACTCCACTTCGGTTGCGACTTCCGATAAGTACAAACTCGGCACCGCTGTATTCGAAAGTCTCTGCTTTCCTTACGATGAATCCAGCTCATCCTGCCGGAAGTGTCGGGAGCAGATCCGTAAATTGGTTTTTCCTCCCCCGTCGATCAGCGTCGGAATTTTATTGATTTGCAGTGCGTAACACCATTTTTTGAACCGCCTCTTGTCGCTGGGGAACCTGAAGAAAACCAGCAAAACATACATCACAGGTTGGTAATAACTAAAAATCACAACAACAAAAATTACCTGTGAGAGGAAAATCCACCGTCCGTTGGTGATTTGTTCAAATCACTCTTGCAGGATGGTATTATACATCGCATGCTGCTGCTGCTTGTACCAATTATGATAACTATGACGATTTTCAAACAAAACCTTTCGCGAAACTACCGAAACGGTCGAAACTACCGTCCGAAAGACGAAAACTCGATGAAAACATTATATGAGTGAATCAAAACAAACACCGATTGACAGATGACCGGGCGCCATGATGGTTTTGATACCAGTTACGATATTTTTGTCAGACAGCACCCCCCTGGCTTGGGCCTTGTCTCCTGGATATCGCGACAGAATTCTATTAACGTTTTCTTATTTTCCCCTAATAACCAAACTTTTTTCCCATTTCAGCTTCTTCACCTACTACGGCTTGGATGTGATTTGTTTCTTCCTGGCCGCCGTCTACCTTCTCCGGTGGGTAGTTCGACGAGTGCTGAAACCACAAATTTTCCAACTTACCAAGGAGAAAATCCATTAGAAGCATCACCACAACCAGCAACATCAGAAAATAAAATAAAACGACAACCGAAGGAAAACAAACAAACAAACGCTTACACCAAAATATCAACTTCTGCAATAACGGGAAATCGAGAGGACGCAATCTGCAACAACTTTGCTCAACCTGGTCTGCTGCTAAGAAAAATGTATTTTTTTTGCTCAGTTTAATTGGATCCATTAACTACCGGCGAGCGTAAGACATTGTGCTGAATTTCAAAAAGGTGCCGAACCCAAACACAGCAGGGATCGATCGCTCTTTTGGGACTTTTTCGTTGCTTTTTAGTATAAAGTGCTAGCTTAAAATTCAGTTCAATTTTCAGTTAAAATGTGTAACGGAAAATTGTTAAGGTTTGAAAAATCATTGCTCAGCAGTTTATCGCTGGATGTTAAATCTATTTGATACCAAATAAATCTATAAAATATGTCATTTTAAATGGTGCCAATAGATTTTAAATTTGTCAATAAATGGCTGAGCTATGATTTTTCAAACATTGCAAGTTTGATGTTACACATTTTACCGGATGCACCGTGTTCGGAGTGTTAATTTCCCTATCAAAATTCAAAATTTCCGCACCGCAGACCAAAACCTCAAGTGCCCCTTCAGTGAAAACACAGAGTGTGGCTCTACGGTGCGAATTTTTTGCATTTTTAAAGATAGATTAATAGCATTAGACTATCTATTTTACGATGGGTTAACTTAAAATTTGACTGGATATTACGTTAGCATTCTATAATAAAAATGAAGGAATAAGCCCCAAAATGAGCGATCCATCACTGCCTAAGAGTAAACAAAGTTTGAACGAACTTGATGAAAACATAAGTATCCAGTCAAAACAACCTGCACGGCTATTGAGAATTACTCAAAGAGAGAGAGAGAGTCACTTCTACTCAGTTGTATGATTAATTTCTAAAAACTGCAGGTACTCAACGCTGAGTTACTGCAATTTTTAGAAATTTATCCATACCTTCGAATAGAAGTGACTCTCTCTCTCTCTCTTTGGGTTATTCTCAATAACCGTGTGCAAGGTACACGTCGAAATACGATCCACCTTCTTCAGACGCAAATTGCCTCAAAACAACTATGAAAAACTGCTTTAAAAGTGTCTACAAAGGATATTACCCTTAAAGGAGAACTTTCACTGAACGTTATTAACAAGCCCCAGGATAATGAACCAACGGTTGAATACTTTTCCGGACTGATTCGTGATTAGGGCGTACATGCTTTTTGTAAACAAACACGGCAATCTCGGAAACTAACTACACAATCAGGTAGAGGAACCATTCCTCTACCATTTGGAATAGTTCGTTTGCTATGGTCTCGTTTGCCTACAAAAGCATGTACGCCCTCATCGCAAATCAGTCCAGTTTATGCCAAGTCCTTCCCAGAATGGCAACCCTTCATGGCATGGTGTGTAACGGTGGGGGTAGCAGAAAAAAAATGAAGATGTTTTAGTCAGAAGATTCCAACCACTTACACCTTTCCTCATTTGGGTATCTCCAGTAGATCATCGACAAACAATGTGATAACTGGCTCGAAAGCGTGACCGAAAGATGAAAACAAAGAAAAAGACCGATGCGACAAAAGAAAAAAAGGGCTACAGTGACGCAGATTATGGTTTCATTTACATTTACATTATAGACGCGGTCACACCTCGTCCGGGTGTGATTAAAGGATTTTAGATATTTGTTTTCTTTTCTACTGTTAGGAAATGAGGGTTCACTTTTAGTCTAGGATGTGAAAAAGGGTAGAATAAGCGACCTAATTTATTTATCCCATGATCATGAATGTGCGAGGACTCCCCCGAGCCAGCGACCGACCGGAATGGTGCAGCTGTAAAACAGTTGCTTCCGGAAAGGACGGTGGACAGAGGGAGGGGGGGGGGGGTCTGGGACAGTGAGAGATTTTTTTTATTTAGATTTTATTGCATTTCGTTGCAAGTGTGTACAGATAGATGGATAGGCGAAGATGAGGTCCAAAAATGATGAACACTGTAAATAATAGGATAATAAAAGTAAAGAATAAAGGAGGTGTTCTATCATTGGTATCACAAGTCACATAGGTGCTATATTTTTTTGATGTAGGTTTACGTCTTTCGGCAACATATTGGGGGTGCAATTTTAAAAAAAAAACCAAAATCGACTGCGTTACGAAAAGTGGTCAGGTTTTGACCACTTATAACTCCGTCAATAGCGGATGGATTTTAATTCTATTCAAGCCAATCGATTGGTATTTTTTCTACGAAGCTGCTAAAATGAATACTTTATCACAAATGTCCAACTGTTCCAATGGTGATCAAAATTATCACCGATTGCCTGCAAAAAGTGGTTTCCCTAACATATCACCAAATATTGATACCAAGCACGTAATCCTACGTCAAATCTACGGTCGAGTCTAGGATACAACCTCTTAATTTTTTTTTATTCTGCTTGCACTTGTTAGGAGCGATGATTACCTCCTGACAACTACGCGGTGCATCCAAGCACCCCCGGGTGAGTACGATCTCTCATCGCATCGTCTTACCTCACAGTAAGTTTGACAGCTATTCTTATTACTAAAAGCACGTTTCCCGCGTACGGTTTATTATTCCTTTTTATGTGAAATACATTGTTCCTTTAAAAGTTAGTCCGCGTGTTTATTTCACCATTCCGAATCCGAACCTGATTTCGCTGGTCCGCTGCGCTGCTCCACTTGGTCGTATAGTCGTCAGGTTATGGGCCCAGGAAACAGTAGGATTTGAGAAATAGTGGTAGAAATAGTCCGGTCCAAAAGTGACGGAGTATCGCGAAAGTTCGACGGCGTTTCGTCGCGAGTGCGGGATAACGGTGCTATTTTGCCAAGATGGCTGATTCGCGTTTTGCCTTTGCCAAGTTGAATGGCACAAATTGGCAAACTTGGAAAGTGCGCGTCGAGATGCTATTGCAGCGTGAAGACTTGTGGACTGTCGTGAGTGAACCATTCCCGCTGGAAGAGGGACGGGACGATGAGTGGAGGAACGCCGATCGGAAGGCGAAGGCCACTTTGGTGCTGCTGCTTGAGGACAGCCAGTTATCGCTCATTAAGAACTGTACAAGTGCTCACGAAGCGATCAACGCGTTGAAATCGTACCACCAAAAGACGACGCGTTCGGTACGAGTTTCTTTATTGAAGAAGTTGTGTGCGGCAAACCTCCCCGAGCGCGGAAATTTGGAGGAACATTTGCGTGAGATAGACGATCTTTTCGATCGTTTGGACGCTGCCGGCACGGAATTGGACAAAGACACAAAAGTGTGCATGCTCCTGAGAAGTTTGCCACCCTCGTTTGATGGTATTGTTGCGGCTTTGGACAGTCGTGAAGATGACGATATCTCGCATCCAAACTAATGGATGAATATCATCGCCAGTTGGAGCGTGAGGGTATCGGCACCGGGTCGAAATCGGAGAAAGCAATGCAGTCGGTAAACAATAAATCGAAAGAATCGTGTGTGTGTGTCACTTTTGTAAGCGCGCGGGACATTTGCGACGCGATTGCCGAAAGTTCAAGGCACAGAAGGCAGAAAGTGGTGCGGAAAAAGAAACCCCTAAAGCGAAAGCCGCTCAGGGCGACGGGAGAAGTGTTGCCTTTACCGGTAGTGAAAGTGTACGATCGTCGTCGTGGGTGATTGGCAGTGGGGCTAGTGCCCACATGACCAACAATCGTGAGTTTTTCGAGTCATTAAGTGACTTCTCTGGTGGGTGGATTACGCTCGCCGACGTGCAGAAGACGAAGATTCTCGGAGAAGGTTATGGAATGCTTCGTGGTGTGGATGGTTTAGGCAACACGGTGAAGATCGACATGCAGAATGTGAAATTCGTTCCGGGGCTGTCGACAAGCTTGATATCAGTAGCCAAGTTGGGAGAAAAGAACCTTGCAGTGAATTTCGATGGTGAAGGCTGTCGGATTGCTGATGCAGGAGGAGACGTCGTGGCGACAGGCTATCGCTACGGTGGTTTATACTACCTTCGGACGGTGGAGGTTTCCAACAAGGCAGCAGCTGGTGAGCACCACGAAAACTGCCAGCATCAGTGGCACCGGCGGTTTGGCCACAGAGACTGGGCAGCGGCTGAACGACTCTTCAGCAACCGGCAACCGGCGTTAAGGTAGGTGACTGTGGCATGCGACTTGTTTGTGAATGTTGCCTCGAGGGGAAGTCCGCTAGGCAACCATTTCCCCCGGTGGCGGAGCGTAAATCCAAACGAATCCTCGACATTGTGCATACCGATTTGTGTGGGCCGATGAAAACCACGACTCCAAGTGGTAATCGTTTCGTCATGCACTTGATCGACGATTATAGCCGGTTCACGGTGACATATTTGTTAAAGCACAAATCGAAAGCCGCACAAATCATAAAGGATTACGTTCGATGGACGCAAAATGTGTTTGGCCGGAAGCCTGGAGCTATTCGTTCCGACGGAGGGGGCGAATTTTGCATCAATTACTTGAAGAGCTTCTATCGTGCCGAGGGTATCATGGCGCAGTTCACGACACCGTACACTCCCCAGCAAAACGGTGTGGCCGAACGTAAAAATCGGTCTATTACGGAGATGGCCACATGCATGATGATCGACTCTGGCATGAATGAGCGCTACTGGGGAGAGGCGGTGTTGACCGCAACATATTTGCAAAATCGTTTGCCTTCCAGAAGTGTACCAAAAACCCCCTACGAGCTCTGGTGGGGACGTAAGCCGGATTTATCTCACCTTCGCATCTTCGGATCAGAGGCCTATGTCCACGTGCCAGATCAGAAGCGTGGAAAGCTGGAGGGAAAATCGAAGAAGCTTCGATTTGTAGGTTATTCGATGGATCATAAAGCCTACAGATTTGTGAATTGCGAGACTGATCTCATCATCCTTAGGCCGATGACATGCTAAGGCGTAACGCGAAGCGAACCGGAATGCGGTGCGAATGCGTATTAGCTGTTTCCTTGTGCGTCCATATAAAACGCTTAAACCTGTCATAGTGGAAGCGTCACTAAGCGTCAGTGGAAGCGATAAAACAGAACGTGAAGTGTTTTGACGCGTTTGCACTCTGTTGTGAAAAATGGAGATCGAAACAGAAAATCTAATTTCTCTTGTTTTCACAAAGAAACCGCTTTGGGATAAAACGTTGAAACTGTACAGGAACAGATTGGCAGTGGACAAACTTTGGAGACAAGTTTCTAACGAATTGGGCGGTGAAATAACAAGTAAGTTAGATAATAACCAAGTGTTTCGTTTTGTTCAATTTATTATCATTTTTAGCCGATGCGGTCAAGAAAAAATGGAAATCGCTACGAGATACTT